TCCTTCCTTCCTTCCTCTCTTTCTGTCTTTCTCTCTCTCTCTCTCTCTCTCTTTCTCTCTTTCTCTTTTTATTTCTTTCTTGTTTCGCTGTTATTTCCCAGACTGGAGTGCAATGGCACGATCTCAGCTTACCGCAACCTCCACCTCTTGGGTTCAAGTGATTCTCCTGCCTCAGCCTCCCGAGTAGCTGGGATTACAGGCATGCGCCACCACACCTGGCTAATTTTGTATTTTTAGTAGAGATGGGGTTTCTCCATGTTGGTCAGGCTGGTCTTGAACTCCCGACCTCAGGTGATCCACCTGCCTCAGCCTCCCACAGTGCTGGGATTACAGGTGTGAGCCACCGTGTCCTGCCTAGTTCTCCATTTTCTTATTGATCTTCTGTCTGGTTGTTCTATCCATTATTGAAAGGAGTACTGAAATCTCCAATTATTATTGCAGTGTTGTCTATTTCTCCCTTCAGTTTTGTCAATATTGCTTCATATATTTGGGTGCTCTGCTGTTAGGTGCATATGTATTTGTAATTGTTATATCTTCCTGGTGAATTGACCCTTTATCATTATGTAATAGCCTCCTTTGTCTTTTGTGGCAGCTTTTGACGGATACAAATACTGCCATCCTTGCTCTCTTTTGGTTACCATGTGCATGGAATGACTTTTTCCATCCTTTCACGATCCACTTATGTGAGCCTTTACATCTAAGGTTGAACCTCTTGTGGGCAGCATATATTAGCTGCATCTTTCTACACCCCTTACCTGTAATAACTCATTTAATCCTCACAATAACTCCATGCAGATGGCGTTATTGTTATCTCCATTTTTAGATGAGGAACCTGAGGCACAGAAAGGGTAGGCAGCTTATCCCAGGTCCAGTAGAGTGGAAATTTGAACCAAGCACTCGACTCTGAGTTTATGCTCTTTGTATCCATCCTCCTTCATAGTCAAATTGGAACTTTGAATTTAGAGGGAGGATTGTTGGGTAGGGGAGCAGGAAATGGATTATTCAAACATGACTTTGGGACAACTGTGTAGCCCCTTGAAAAAAATAATAAAGTTGAGCCCTACCACAATCCCTGCATCAAAATAAATTCTGGAAGTGGCAAATATATTTTAAAAAGAAAGAAGAAAGCCAGGTGTGGTGGTGCGTGCCTGCAGTCGCAGCTACTTGGGAGGCTGAGGCAGGAGAATCACTTGAGTCCAGGAGTTCAAGGCTGCAGTGAGCTATGATTGTGTCACATAAGTACTCTAGCCTGGGCAACAGAGTGAGGCCCTGCCTCAAAAAAGAATAAGACAAAGACGAAGGAGGAGGAAGAAGAGGAGGAAGAGGAGGAAGAAGAGGAAGAGGAGGAGGAGGACGAGGAGGAGGAAAAACAACAACAACAACAACAGGAGGAAGGAGAAGAAGAAGAAAAGGAGAAAGAAACCTTGAAGTCCCTTTCCTGCCGCGAAGGTGCTCCGTCCTTCCGAGGAAGTTAAGGCCGCGTTGGGGTGAGGCCCTCACTTCACCCGGTGACTAGCACTGCGTCCGGCAGCGCCAGCCCCACACTTGCCCGCGCTGTGGCCTCCGTCTCCGAGCTCGCCTGCATCTACTCGGCCCTCATTCTGCACGACGATGAGGTGTCTGTCACGGAGTATAAGATCAAGGCCCTCATTAAAGCAGCCGGTGTAAATGTTGAACCTTTTAGGCCTGGCTTGTTTGCAAAGGCCCTGGCCAATGTCAACATTGGGAGCCTCATCTGCAAGGTAGGGGCCGGTGGACCTGCTCCAGCAGCTGGTGCTGCACTGGCAGGAGGTCCTGCCCCCTCCACTGCTGCTGCTCCAGCTGAGGAGAAGAAAGTAGAAGCAAAGAAAGAAGAATCCGAGGACTCTGATGATGACATGGCCTTTGGTCTTTTTGACTAAATCTCTTTTATAACGTGTTCAATAAAAAGCTGAACTTTAGGAAAAAAAAGAAAAAAAAAGAAACCTTCAAGAATACAAGTGGAAAATATGGGCAAATACTTTCATGATTCTCAAATGGGAAAGGCTTTTTAAGCAAGTCCCAAGGATGCCATAAATAAAGTAAAAAAGAGATGAATGACAATTTGCAATACACATGACAAGAAGTCAGTTGCCTTAATTTAGAAAAACTTCTTAAAAAATCAATAAGAAATTAGAAAGGATGGATGCAGACAAGTCACAGAAAAATAAGTGCAAAGGCCGATCAGTCAATAAACATGAAAACATGTCTGTCTTTTTTGACAACTGAATTACAAATTGAAACAAGATACCATTTTTAAACTCACTGTAAAAATCCAACAATCTGATCATGCACACTGTGTGAGGGTGGAGAAAAACAGGCACTCATGAGTTGCTGGGGCAGAGAAAACTGGTTCACCCTCATTGGAGGACAATTTGGCAATATCTGTCAGAATGTTAGGTTCACGTAAGTTTTGACCCAGGGATATCCTCTAGCTGGCATCATACATGTGCACAAAGATACAGAGTCAAAGAGGTAGGCTGGGTGAGATGGCTCACGGCTGTAATCCCAGCACTTTGGGAGGCTGAGGCAGGCAGATCACCTGAGCCCAGGAGTTTAAGACCAGCCTAGGCAACAAAGTGAGACTTCATCTCTACAAAAATTTTAAAAAAAAATTTAGGCTGGGTGCGGTGGCTCATGCCTGTAATCCCAGCACTTTGGGAGGTCGAGGCGAGCGGATCACCTGAGGTTGGGAGTTCTAGAGCAGCGTGACCAACATGGAGAAACCCCGTCTCTACTGAAAATACAAAATTAGCCGGGCTTGGTGGCGCATCCCTGTAATCCCAGCTACTTGGGAAGCTGAGGCAGGAGAATCGCTTGAACCTGGAGGCAGAGGTGGCAGTGAGCTGAGATCGCGCCATTGCACTCCAGCCTGAGGAACAAGAGTGAAACTCCATTAAAAAAAAAAAAAAAATTAGCCGGGCATGGTGGTGGGTGCCTGTGGTTCCAGCTACTTGAGAGGCGGAGGTAGAAGGATCACTTGAGCCCAGGAAGTTGAGGCTGTAGTGAGCTGGGGTTGTACCACTGCACTCCAGCCTGGGCAACAGAGTATGACGCTGTCTCAAAACAAACAAGAAAAAACAAAGATGTTCATTACAGCTTTGCTTGTGCAGCAAAAAATGTAGAAATAACCTAAATATCAATCAACAAGGACAGATTCATAGAAATTGTAGTGCATTGGTTCAGTGGAACACTAGGAGCTATTAAAAGAATGGAGGAATCTGTCTGTGTGGTATGCAGAGATGTGTGATGTATGTTAATTAGCAAAGCAAATGTAAGTACAGGGAATATGTTCCTGGTTGGGTTTAAAATAAAGATGCAGGCATAGATAGACGTGTGTGTGTCTGTGTGTGTGTGTATGTATGTTCATATTTCTGGAAAAACTTCTCAGGAAAATTTAGGAAATGACGATATTTATGTTGGAGAGTGGGATATAGGTCTGAGATGTCCCTTCATCCATCCATGCCATGTTTCTTTTTCCTTTCTTCTTTTTGTTTTTGGAGATAGGGTCTTGCTCTGTCACACATGCTGGGGTGCAGTGGTGCTATCATGACTCACTGCAGCCTCGACCTGCTGGGTTTAAGCAATCCTCCCACCTCAGCTTCCCGAGTAGCTGGGACTACAGGTGGACATCACCACACCCAGCTAATTTGTTTTTTTTTTTTTTTTTGTACTTTTTGTGGAACTGGGTTTTTGCCGTGTTTCCAAGGCTGGTCTCTAACTTGCAGGCTCAAGTGAACCTCCCACCTTGGCCTCCCAAAGTGCCAGGATTACAGGTGTGAGCCACCATACCCAGCCTAGATTTCGTTTTCATTGTGTATTATTTTGAATGGTTTGATTTTTTTTCCCCTAAGCATGTTATTTTCAGAATTTAAAAAGCATACTTAAAGCCGGGCAGGGTGGCATGTGCCTGTAATCCTAACTACCTAGGAGGAGGAGGCAGGAGGACCATTTGAGCCCAGGCATTGAAGACCAGCCTGGGCAACAGAGTGAGACCCCATCTCAAACAAAACAAAACAAGAATATTTAAGAAGAAACAAATTATAAGGGGGAGAATACCAGTTAAAATGTCTCACCCTGAGCTTTGTTTTTAAATTCGTTTCTCAGTGGTTCACTTCTTCTTGCATTCACAATTTCAGATGTGGGCGGGCCCAAGAGATCACCGCCAATCTTTATTTTGTCCGTGAGGAAAATGAGAGCTAGAGAGGGTTTAGCAAGCTGCTGGGGCTCCCTGGCTAGCCTGACCGCAGAGACCAGGCTCCTGTGATGCTGCTTTCAGGAAACGGACCACTGATCCCTTTCTGTGGATTATAAAATCATCCTTGGACTTGTCTGCCCTTTCCCAGTGTATCGTCCACTGAGTCTTACTTCATGGGTACCCATGTGGGGAACTTGTTAAAATGTAGGTTCCCAAACACCTTCCTGGAGATTCAGGTTCAGTGGGTCAAGGCAGGGCCCTTCCACCTGCGTTTCAGCAAGGCCTTCCCCTCCTCCCGCAGATGATTCTGAAGTGGGTGATGTCTATGACCCCTTTGACCTCCCCCAGCTCAGCCCTGCTGGCGTTGTCTGTGCATCTAGGCTGAACACCCCCACACCAGCAAGGGAAAATGGGGTGCTCTAGCTTAGCAGGGGAAGTGACAGCTGGTGCCTGGGCTCCCAGTGCAGTGCTCTCCCCATGGCCCCCTCCTCACAGCTCATGCTCTGCTGGGTTGAATGGTAGCCCCTAGCTCACCCACCCAGGCTTGGGCACTGGCTGGCCTGGATTTGGAACTGGGGCAGGCTGGGGGTCGTGGATGCTTCTGGAGTACCCCTCACCCCATTGGAGCTCCCCAAGGCAGGCCTTGTGGGAGATACTGACAAGCACATTGGAGCTGGGAGGGGCTTGGCCAGCTTGGGCTTGGGGAGGAGCTGCAAGGAGGCCAGGGAGGACTGGGATGCACGCCCGCCTGCCCTGAAAGGGTTCTGTTGTCCCTGTGCCATAGATCCTTGGAGGAGCCTCCCTCAGGGTCAGGAATCAAGCGGGGACACGGCTGAGCCACTCAGAAGCACCTTTTCCTGGGGACTGATCAAGAGGAGGGAAGGTCCTATAACAGCCCAGGGGCCACGGGGGGCCTGAGCCCCAAACCTCAGCTGCTGTTCCAGGTAGGTGCCCCTGGCATCATCCCATCACCCATCAGGGCTAAGCCCTAGCACCAGCTCCCCACCTTGAGCCTAGGAAATGTGGCCATCCTGGCCGCCCCATGGCCTGCAGCTCTCCAGCCAGCACTTGGGCAAAGGCCCTCCCTAAGCCCTCCTAAACCCACAACCTGCCAAGAGAGGGGCAGGAACGGCCTAACCCCATTCCGAAGGGCGCTGTCCCAGGTGACCCTGCCCATGAGGCCTGGGAAGGGGCGGAAGATGCTCTGGTTTTGGTTAGGATGTCCTCTGTCCCCTAGAAATTCCCCTGGGGCTGAGCTGCTAGCTGGGCCCCCCGTGGTTCTTGCCCAGCTGACTCTGGTTTGGGGCAAGCCCAGAATCCGGCCAGGCATGGCTCTTCCAAGAGTTCCCTGACTCTTGACACTTTTTCCTCTAGGAAAGGATTAAGACAGATGGTATCTTCATAGACTACTAGAGCTGGGGATCTTAGAGGTAGAATCCAACCGCAATCTCTTTTTACTTCTCAAGCATTACTTATATCAATAGTGTAGTTTCCAATGTTGTGGTTGAACATCTCAGAGGAATCAGGTGTAATCTTGTCAAAACAGCACGGGAAGCCCTTTGGCTTTGGACAGCCCTTCCTGGGCTCATTGGCCTCCCTTTGCCCCTCAGTCCAGCCTGTGCCCCACGCTCCTCTTCCTCTCCTTCCACCTTCCCAGTTACCTCCAGCAACTCCTTCCCCCTTATCAAAAGGAACATTGACAGTGGCTGGACATTCCAAGCTAGAAGGTATTGAAGCTAGGTTAGCATCTAAGTGAGGCTTTCTTCCTTATTTAAGTAAGTAAATACATTAATAAATAAATCTTTGAGGAAGGATTAGAGAGTCCGGGAAGCTTTCCAGAGGAAGCTCTAACTGTGATAAGACTTCTCTATTTGAGAGTGTCTCAAATCTCTCTTACATGAAAGAAGATATTATCCTGCATGGGGTGTTGGCCAAGAACATCGTGATTGTTGCTGTTATTGACAAAAGTAATCTTAAGATATAGTTCTTTACGTCCCCTTTATAATTTCCTAGTCCTTTCTTGGGAGAGCCCTCCAGCGCAGGGAACCTTAGCTACAGGCAGTGTGTCACTTCTGTTCCTCTGGCCATTCCCAGGCCCCAGCCCTATGCCAGACTGTTGTTCAAGATTACTAGAAGAGGGGCCGGGCGTGGTGGCTCATGCCTGTAATCCCAGCACTTTGGGAGGCCGAGGCGGGCAGATCACGAGGTCAGGAGATCAAGACCATCCTGGCTAACACAGTGAAACCCCGTCTCTACTAAAAATACAAAAAATTAGCCGGGCGCGGTGGTGGGCGCCTATAGTCCCAGCTACTTGAGAAGCTGAGGCAGGAGAATGGCGTGAACCCGGGAGGCGGAGCTTGCAGTGAGCGGAGATCGCCGGGAGGGGGAGCTTGCAGTGAGCGGAGATCGCGCCACTGCACTCCAGCCTGGGCGACAGAGGGAGACTCCATCTCAAAAAAAAAAAAAAAAAAAAAAAAAAAAAAGATTACTAGAAGAGGCAGCAGTGGAGCCAGATGGGTTCACATCTCAGCTCAATCACCTACTGGCTTCATCATCTCTATGTATTTCTGTCTCTTCATCTGCAAAATAGGGTTAACAATAGTACGCTAGGGTGAAGATTAACTATGGTAATATGTGTAAAGTGCTTGAAACAACATCTAGCACCCAGTAAGTGCTTAACACATTAGATCTGATCATTGCAAAAGTCTGTTCTCTCCCAGCCATAGTCTGCTGCCTGGTCAACTTCCCTAAGGCACAGTGCAGACATCCAAGTCCCTGGCTCTACAACCATCCGTGGCTCCCCATTGCCTAGTTAATGACTATGCTCTAACTTCACTTTAAGGGCTTGAAGGCAGAGACAGATATTGTTTGCCTTGCATGTAATAAGGAATCAGTAATGTTTGTTGGGAGAGGGTTTCTATCCTCAGGGTGGGTGAACTGAGTCCCTAAGGAATGGAAGTGCAGTCACCTACAGCCAACATCTGGGGGTTTGATCCAAGCTCTTCTACCTCCCCAACCATAGCCTGGCCAGGAGCAGACCTGGATATGGGGCCCTGGATCCACACACAAGGCTAGGGATAGTTTCCGTTGGATCCACTGGGTCTGCAAATGCAGTGAGCCCTATTTTGGGCTCCAGCCTTGGTCCACATCAGGGTCAAGAGAGGACATTTGGCCATTGCCCAGACAGACAGTGACCGCAGTTATAATGTGTACTCTCTGATGAGTTCAGGCCAGGCAGCAGACTTGACATCATGGTCCTCATTCATTGTGGGGCTGTGGCCAAAACCTTGGCTCCCATGGCTCAAGTGGGAAGCCTGAGGCCAGCAGAGACTGCCTATGATCTGGCATCTTGGACAGAGAACTCAGCTAGCTCCATCCTGCATCTCAGCCCCTGTGGTGGAAGAGAGGCCACACACTATGGAGGAACAAGCCCTGGGCTGGGGCAGGACAGAACAGCGTTTGAGACCAGCCTCCTCATCTGGTGGAGAGACCTCAACCGTGTCAATGAACTTCTCTATTTTCCCATCTGTGAAATGGGGAGGATAACACCCGCTTTGTAGAGTTGGGGTGACGGCAAAATGGTGCAAACTGCCCAGAGCCACTGCATGCATGGAGTGGGCACTTGGGAATTTGCAGCGATTCTGATCAGACCGTCAAAGTTGTTCTCCAGGTTGCCGAGTGGAGCTGTTTCAGTCCTGACTTCCAGCTTTCCTTAGGTGGGGAAATTGTCCTCGCCTGGCCTCCACGCTGAGATAAAGGAAAATAGTGGTGGTTTTGGCAGAAGCAGGAAACAGTTCAAATGTTTCCAGACTCCTGGCAAGGGTGGGAAGTGCGGGAGGGAAGCAGCGCAGCTCTGCCTGGTGTTCTCAGAGATTTTTCCACTTGGAGGCTCAGTGCTGCCAAGCCCAGGAAGCCAGCAGTGAAGGGACAGGAAGGGGGCAAATCAGAGCATGCTGGTTCCTGCAAGATGGTATTTTTCTCTTTATCCACTTGAAAAATGAACGCATCTATTGGGATTCCAGGTACTGGACTAGGCAGCAGCAAGTAAAACAGACATGACCCTGCCCTCAGGGGGCTTTCATTCAAATGAAGCAGATAATAAACAGCGTATTATGGATGATGTATGTTAGAAGGAGATAAATGCAATGGGGGGAAAAACACAGAGAAGGAAAGGGAAAGCAATCAGCAGTGCCAGAGGAGCTGCGTTATTAAATAGGATGGTCAGGACAGACCTCACTGGAAAGGCAACATTTGAGACACACAGATTGTTTGCTCCCCTTGGGGATTCCTGAGAGGCCCGGGGGCTCAGAATCAAGGCCAAGTGCCTTTCATGAGATCCTGGGATAGGAGCAAAATCTAGAAGCTCTTCTAGTCCCAGCCCAGATAATGTCATGCCCTTTCTCCGAGACCTTCAATAGCTCCCCACTGCCTATACAATCAAGTGCAAATCATTCAACTGAGATTCAGGGCCTCATGATCTGGTCCCAACTTGCCTGTTATCTCACCAGACCCTTCTCACCCCACTTCTTCAGCCAAGCTAGTCTGCCTGTCATTTCTGGAACAGTCCGCTGTCTGTTTCCCTCTTCCTCTCATTTGTCCCTCTGCCCGGACTATCCTTGATCCCACTGGTTTCTGTCAGTATAGATATCTCACCCACCCTCCAAATGCCACCTCTCCGAGGCCTTCCCTGACCCCTGGAGCTGTGGTCTCTGAGCCCTACAACTTGGCTTGTTCCTTTCTCAGCGTGTGGCTCTTACTCTGCCTTGGGTGTAGGCACTGGTTTTCCTGTCTTGTGTCTCTACCTGGCTGGAAGTGCTCTGGGCAGGGCCTGGGCTCCTTCACCTCCAGCAGGTGTGGGACTCAGTGAACGCTGGCTGAACTGTGTCCCTGCTCAAAGGCTTCCAGCGACACTGTGACAAGCCAGGCCCACTCAGGCAATGAAGGCAGAAGTGGAGGCAGGCAGGAAAGGAGAGAGGAGACTAAAATGTAGGTGAGAGATGATGGAGGAGCTGGTGAGGGACGAGGAGAGAGAAATCCCCACTGTACTTTTTCCAGAGAGGCAGATTGTCGCAGACAGAAGGAGGGATCCCTCTCTTCCCCCAGAAATAGCTAGTACTCCCTTCAGTCTCCCAGGGCAGTGCTTCCTTGTGTCTAACTGAAATACCTCTTGCTGCAGCTGCAGTTCACTTTCTCTTTTTCCATCATCTGGCTTCAGGTCACCATTCAAGTCCTCATTCAGCCTGGATCATTGTGGCTTTCCTGATCCCCTACCCAAAGGGCAGGAGCAAGGTCAGAGGAGGCTGGCTCCTGCCCTGGAGCTTGTACTCTAGTTAAGGAGGCTATGGTGATCCCCAGAGCCACATGGAGACTGCTAGGGAGCTAAGATGTGGGGCCACCGTGAGTCATGGAGGTTGTGCCAGCCACCACCCCTCAGCCTCTCAGCACAGCCTCCCTGCAGGGCTAACCTTCATCACAAACAAACCTGTGAATAGAGAGCTCCCACTAGTGTAGCAGGGATTCTCAGGCCCCTCATGGCCCCCAGGCCCTGTGAGGCCCTGTGAGCCAGACCCACATCCTCTGCTATCTGCCTCCCACCCATCACTGGACCAGCTGTACTCAGAGAGCACACGAGGCAGCCAATGTGACTCCAGCCCTATTTAAACAGATGGTGCCAGAGCCCAGAAACAGGCTTCAACCTGGTCCCCGTCCCGGCTCTGCTGCCCCTGAGGGGTGGTGCATTTCCATCCAGGGGACCTGAACTAGGCTCACATCTTGTCCTGCCCCCGCTCCCCATCTGCCTCTCGGCTGGCTTTTATGCGTGCCAAGGTCTCCTCCTGGACCGTTCTGCCCTGTTCTCCACAGGGTAGGAGGCCCATGTGTCCTCAGGCTAGGAATGTGATGCCTTGAGGCCAACTGGCTAGGTTCAAATCTCACTAAGAACAGT